ATAAATAAATAAATAAATAAATAAATAAATAAATAAATAAATAAATAAATAAATAAATAAATAAATAAATAAATAAATAAATAAGCAAGCTTTTGCACCATTGCTGTTCACCATCACAAGCAACCACCTGCACACACTAAGCAGTTAAGATTGGTCCTTCTATTCCCTGGGCTGTGCTTGACCACAGTCATTATGTCAAATTGGTTTGAATGGCAGCTATTCCATGTCCAGTGCTAACACTTTGATGCGTTTCCCACCAGGATTCCTTGCCAAAGCTTCCTCCCACTAAGTTTCACCAGCCCCAGTCTGCTGATCCACATCACAAAAAAAGCAGTTTCCACACTCACACACTCCACACTGCCACATCTGAAATTGCACCACCAACAAAGCAGGGCTGAAGAGCATACAATCCCGCCCCGTGGCTTTCCAAATGTGCCGAATTAGAACTCGCATCATGCAGTGGTCACTCTGGCTGAGAATGTTGGGAGCTAAAGCCCAACACATCTGAAGGGTATTGGAGTAGGATAAGTTGGGCTAGAAGGAGAGACAGTTCCTCAGCTGTGTCCAAGTCAGTTACTATGATCACAAGGACTGATGATTAGAAAGGTGATCTACAGCATAGCTTGTAGCTATGTTAAAATTAACACAGTAACATAAAAATTGTTATTTTTCCCCAATAGGAGAAAAAGCACCTATTTAGCTGTTTTAAAAGCAACGCTAACACACTTTCTGTTCCCTTAAAATAATTATTTATGCTGTGAATGTATGTCTCTATTCCTCTTTGATGAGAGAAGGCACCCACAGAGGTCTTATCCTTGGCACTTGAAATATTTCTGGATGACATCTCCCAGAAAGCTGAGCTAGCAGCACAGCCAACAGGCAACAGCTCTGTGCAGAGTCAGTGTTGCTGAATGAGCATGAGGATTTCTTTCTCTATGAGTAGAGAGAGGAGAACACAACTGTAGTACTGATTCTTCCTCACTGTTACTAACAAGACTTGATAAGGCGCTCTCACTTGTATTTGCTTGAATTCACATCACACTCTCCACCCTTTGGCTAAAATCCTGCTGTGTAACGTAGCATGTCACACTAGAGTAGGCCCACTGAATCAGTGGAATTTGGTGAAACACTTTTCATTGATTCAAATGGGCCTGCTCTGGTTACGAGTCACTTCAGAATAGGATACCAACTAGAGTAAGCCTATTTGAATAAATGGAATTTAGAGGAGTTGACGTACCAAACCCTCACTAACTCATGGTCCTGTACTAGTGCAACTTACTATGCTAAGCAACAGGATTTTAGCCTATGTATCCTAACTACTTGCTAGAGTAGCTTTGTGGGCCTTGGTTCACTCTGAATCAGGGGCCCAAACTGGATCAACTGTAGGGGTAACTTGTTCAGTGTGCCTAAGGGAAGGTACAAATACTTGTATCTGGTTGTGTTTTGGAAACATGAAGAAGGAAGGAAAACTTCTATACAGAGCTTGGATTATTAAGTCTGAAAATTAACTGTTATGTGATGTCCAGTTGGAAACTTATAGTGACCCTAATAGGGCTTACAAGGTAAGAGAGATATTTAAAGAGTGATTTTACAAAATCCACACCCCAATTGGACTTCCATGGCTGAGTGGGGATTTGAGTCCAAGCCTACAGTCTGTCACTGGATCCATTACACCACACTGGGTATCAGAAAATTAATTAGTTGGTATTAAATTTACAAATAGGTAGCCTGGGTCATGGAACTAATATTATTGATTAGACCATTAGTTCTGAAATAAAGAGTGTGGTTAAGAGAGAATAGCATATAGGTTCTCACTGTTGACCCCAGTAAAGCAGATAATACTGATTCTACAAAAGTGTAATTTTTGTCAGTTTGGAGTTCCCTTGCCTTATTTGGCATTTTTCCCCACACAGTCTACAAATCCCATAATATACCTGTTAGTTAGGGACGGTGGTTCCAAGCCTACCTTAATATTATTAATCTGGAGAAGGATGTGTGTCTTAACTCTGACATTTATGCCACTAGACCTATACCAGTATAAGTATGTAACAAGATTCTGGCCACAGAAAATAACATACAGCCCCTATTGCAGTGTGAGATGGGCAACTGGCTACATGTGCCATAGCGCTATGTCACTTAAACTGGCTCTTGACCACCAGCACCCTCTGTTTCTGCAATGAATACAGGCCACAGATAGGGTATATCATTATCATTATCATTATCATTATCATTATCATTATCATTATCATTATCATTATCATTATTATTATTATTATTATTAT